AATGAAATATGAAATATTAAATTGAAGGGGTTCTTTAAAAACATCTGGAACTCTGCATGTCAGGGTTCCACTCAGTTCCCTGGCTTGGTGTCCCAGTCTTGAGTTTCTCCCGTACAGTTCTCACAAATATATACTTTCTGCCTTTTGCATGAGTGGGAAAGGGTATCAGGCTCACTGCTTGGAGTTGGGGGGCGGGGCTGGAAATCCAACTTCTCGCCCAACTTTCAGCTCATCTTGCTCTCTTCAGGCCTCCACTTTCTTCGATGCCTGGTGTCTGCAATTGCTACGCCTTGCTTCATGATGAGCTCCTCTGGAGGCACTTAGGTTTGAGTTACTCCACTCTGCAAAACCACTTCCATCCTTCCATCCACTGGCCACGTTCCGAGTTAGAGAGGTCTCCTGAATCCATGGCATATGAGCTTGCATTTTCATTTTGTGTTCATTTCGTTATTTGGGATTAACCTGTGGAAGAAGAAGACAACAATATGACTTTTCCATCATCTTGAAACCAGAAGTTCCCCGCCCCCCCCCCTTTTTTGGGAGAAGACGGGGCATCTACCACTGAATAAGAAGTGGAAGAAAGAGATGAGTCTTAAGATGAAGGCATCTGGGTGGCGTGACTTTTGTTGTTTTCTTGCCATGTTCATAAAACTGCAGCTAGTATTCTGTTGTGAAAGTACCACAGCTTTTTTTATTCACTCATTATTGCTAGGAGTGATGGGTGCACGATGCAGTGTGCAGACGATCATTTATTGAGTTATACACTTGAAACCTGTTCCCCTATAAGTTCAATTTAAAAAAAGAGAGAAAAGAATAAGTAAATTATATAGCTCTTTATAAAAAGAAAAAAAAAAGCCCTGGTTGGGTGGCTCAGTTGGTTGGAACATCGTCCCTTACACCAAAAGGTTTCAGGTTCAATTCCCTGCCAGGGCTCATACATAGGTTGTGGGTTTGATCCCGGATCAGGGTTGGGGCATATACAGGAGGCAACTGATTGATGTTTCTCTTTTTCTCTCTCCCTTCCTGTCCCTCTCAAATGAATAAAAACATATCCTCGGGCGAGAATAAAAAACAAAAAAAGAAAAGAAAAGCAAGCTGCAGCTAGCACACTGTTCTGACCCTGAACCAGGCCCTGTGCTAGGTGCCTGTGTTATCTGTAATCAGTGTGATAATCCTGTACAGCAAATGTTATTGTTCATGTTTTATCCATGAGGAATCGAAAGCTCAGCGAGTTTCAGAAATGAGCCCAAGGCCACATCCCGAGCTCTTCCAGTGGCAGAGCCAGAACTGCAAACCTGTTTGCTTGACCCTAAAGCCATTGCTTCACCCATTGCACATAGCTTGGCACCAGGAACTCACAAAAGTGCGGTTCTCTCATTTAAAAAAAAAATCTGATCTATCTGGTGCATGTCTAGGCAGTTCTGGAAAGGAAACCCCAAGTAAATCATAGGAAAATTTACTGTTGCCTTGGAGCATGTGTTGACATATTTCTTGCCTACTAATTCACTTGACCTTTCGAAGTCCCTTGTAGTCCTCTAATTCTTAGGCAGTTATTTTTTCAAATTCTTTTCTAGACTCTGATAACTAACAGCAGACAGTCGGATGACCGTACCTCTATTATCTTCATTGCCTTGATTTAGTTTTCCCTCCCCAAAGCTCTCACACACATTGGTTGATGGGATATATTTCAGGCTGCACTGTTTTTATTTATGATTTTTTTAATGTGTGTTACTTACTCGGAGGCACCCAGGGGAAACCTCCACAGACTTTCCTGATTACCAGATGTCGCCCTTTCTGTGTAACAACTGTCTAATCACCACGGCCTCTTGCCAAGAAATGAGAAAAGCATTTGCATTTGGAAAACCAAGCTGCGCCACGTGAAGCGTATTAAGAAGGACAGCCTCCCCTGAATCCACATGAGCTTTCCCCCGTCTGAGTTTGTTTTGCTTAAAGATAAAAACCACACAGCCCTGTTTGCAGTTAGGACTAACAAGTGCTTGCGTAACCAGGAGATTTCACGTGGGCTGTCTCAACTTCATTATGCGCAAATTATGTTCTAAGTAATCTTTGAACCAGTAGACCATGTGTAGCCAGTGTTTGTTTTTGGAATATTTCAGTTGTTTATTTTAAATGGTGATTTATGATGGATGTGTGTTTAACATGCAAAATAATGCTACATCCCCAGGAATTCCGGGGGAGACAGGAGGTTGTGGAGGCGTCTCAAACCTCCTTTTCTTGAGCAGGGACATGGCATTAGTTATGCAGTTAAGAAAAAGCAGTGGAGGGGAAGGTAAATCGTAGCTGAGCAGGTATTTAAATGAAGCGTGCCCATCCTGAAGCTCAGATCTGCTCCTGCCAGAGCTCTGAGCCTTTTGAAAACATATCAAATCACTGCTTTCTCACTTAATTTTGTAACAAGGCTAAGGACAGGTTACTTTGGACTCCACTGTGTGGACAATCCCAGGCCCTTGAAATGCTCAACGAGGTCAGAGTGCCCAAGTTTAATGTCTCAGATGTGGAAAGAGAGATTGTAAGGATTGCATCTGTTTGCATGAATTTTAAAATGCCATCGAACACCTCTGAGGCTGTACCTTGGATGCACCATTTAAGTAGAAAGAGCCACACAGAACCATATGTTTAAATGTGGTGCTATCCTTGAGACATGAGTATCAAAAACACATGTTTCCCCCTCCGTTCAACTCTCTCATGAATCACTTAGTTTCAGACCATGGAGTGCACTGCTTTTCCTCTTATAGATTTCTGTTGGACAGCCTCATGTAACACAGTAACTAATAACCATAAAATTGTAATGAATGCTCAATTAAGCCAATTTTCTTCTTGGTTGTTAGGAACTTGGTCTTTCTTAAACCATGGAAAACTAGGCAGAGTTTAAGTTTCATGGAATATAAAAGTAGATCCTCTACCTCTGTTAGAAATAGTAATTATCATAAATTTATACCCCATGGGATTCTTTTGTCATGTAAAATTATAATTCAGCCGGAGATGGTGGGAAATTATCTAATGGGAAAACTCTGGATGCTGTCACATGCCATTTATATCAGTACATTTTATTTATATATGAAGAAATATGTGCATGTACATTAAAATATATACATAAAATATATATACACTCCCTTTTGACATAAATATGCTGAAGAAAGATTCAAAATAGCCTATATTGAGTGGACACGTACAGGTAGGCAAATGTGTCATTTGCAGCACAGGGGGCCCTTAGCTAGTTCACTCAAGTCAGTTTTGAGAGCATCCCAGATGCCACTGTGTTTTATAATGAAAGCCCAGTGTTACGCCTTTGAAGTAAGATTATCTCTCGAAGCTGGACTGCACATGAGACGTATTGCAGAGAGAAAGGAGGCAGTGTAGCAGCACCCGATGGGGCCTCAGAAACTTCTCCTGCCAGATGCAATGTTTACAAGCTGTATACATTTTTCATAAATTTTATGTAAAACTTGTAAGTGACGGATTCAATATAATTTTTCTAAATTTTAGAAGTCTTAGGAAGAGATTGCTGGAGTTTCTCTTTCACCTGGCAGATGGAAATCCACCTAGCAGACCAATCCACAAGAGTGGAATTGACCAATAGTATAGAGTATGCTATTTGCAAAAGTAGAAAACAATGCTGTTAAATTATTTTTTACTACAATGTGATGGGGAAAAGACATCTAAGTGTATCAAATTATTCTTCAACAGCAGGCCTTGTCTAACGTGGTTGAAGGGCACTTGCTTTAGCTCCCGACTAATATGCTAAGTGTCCAGGCATCCGGTTGTCTGCTTGTCCGTTCAACCAATCAAAGCATAATATGCTAATGATATGCTAAGGCCACTCAACTGCTCGCTATGATGTGCACTGACCACCAGGGGACAGACACTTCGACTGGTAGGTTAGCTTGCTGCTGGGGTCCAGCTGATCTGGACAAAGTGAGACAGGCCGGACATGCCTTGGAGCCCTCCTGCATTCCCTCCCCAGCTGGCCAACCTCTTATATTCCTCCCTGGCCCTGATTGTGCACTGGTGGGGTCCCTCGGCCTGGCCTGTGCCCTCTCACAATTCGGGACCCCTCGGGGAATGTCAGAGAGCTGGTTTCAGCCTGATCCTGCAGGCCAGGCCAAGGGACCCCACTGGTGCAGAAATTCGTGCATCGGGCCTCTAGTTTCTAATAAAAATAATAATTACCTTGTGTTGGTCCCCTGTTCAAAATTTCAACTCTCCTCCTAAGTCTGCCAGTAGGATTGACTCTCCAGAACTCTCACATAGTTGATGGATGCTGTTTTGTCCGGAGGGTGCAGCTGCTATCTGCAGAGGGGTAGGCCTGTTAGGAGCCCCCACTCCTACCAGAGGTGGAATCTTCCCAGTGGAGATTCCCATTTGGAATGGATGTCACCATTTCTCTACCACAGGCAGAGATGTTAAACTTGGATGTGGGTTAGTAATTGCCTGTTTGCTTTTTTCATCCTTAGCTAATTTAGATCCCTTTCAGTACCTTCCATGGTACTCCAGTGGGAGTTAGAATGCTTGGGTTCCAGTCCTTGTCTTCTACTATAACTAGAATCATTATGTTGTAATTATCCAGTGGTGATTATTAGCTAATTGTTATTATAACTGGCAAGTCCTGTGAATCCTTGGTGTGTAGGATGAGGGGCCAGGTCAGCCTCGAAGGTTCTTTTCATACCTATTGCTGCAGACCTGGAATTATCTAATTTAAGTATCTTGAAATCTCTGAGTGAATTCACTTCATGGGATTCAAAGGAATAATTCCATGTATTATGTGATGAGAAGGACATTCTGCTATTAGAAGATGTGGTCATGTGATATTGACAATATTTTTCCTTTTTATCTCAGATTTCCTTTAAAATAACTCACCCTGTGTTGCCTCAGTGTTTCCTGGGCACAAGGTATTTCATTCAAGACCAGTAACTGGAAAGAATGATATTTTTATCTAACATGTCTCATTTAAAATGTGTTTTTGTTTGTTTGCCTCTTAGGAAAAAGTGCTGCAAAGGGTATAAATTTGTTCTCGGACAATGCATCCCAGAAGGTATGTCATAGGGAAGATTCTGCCTTCTCATCTTATTCATGACTAATCACCAGATGTCTGTAACGTTCAGATGTGCCTGGAATGTATGTGTGTTATCTGTGTCTGGTTATCTGTGCATGTGTGTGTGTAATTTCTATGTGCGGGCATTATATCCTTCCAATGCCGATTTGGTTATATGTAGCATGCTCTGTCTAAATCATTACACAACATGTAATCATACATTGAGTAATTCTCTAATCAGCATATCACACACAGTTAGAACACAGCCTCCCTCCCCTACCTCTCTATCTGCTTTCCATGTGTTAAACTTGAAACCCCTTCACGTGACCATCAGCAAGCCCTGTGTGCAGCCCAGCCCTGAAGAGACAGAGGCCCGGCCCTCAACGCCCTCACCCTCCAGCTGAGTAGACAGGGTCTGGACAGCGCAGAATCAGAGACCTGGATTTCCTCATGGTTCCACGTCGCCTTAGTCCATTCCGACTGCTATAACAAGAATACCATATATGGCAGCTTAAATAACCAGCATTTATGTCTCACAGTTCTAAAGGCTGGCAAGTCCAAGATCCAGGTGCTGCAAGATTCAGTATTTGGAGAGAGCTTCCTGGTTAATACATAGCCATCTTCTTTCTGTGTTTTCACATGGCAGAAAGGGCAAGGGAGCTCGAGGGGGTCTCTTTTACAAGGTCATTAATCCCATTCATCAGGGTTCCAACCTCATGGCCGAATCACCTCCCAAAGCCCCACCCAGTACCATCACATTGAGGGTTAGGATTTCCAACTATGGATTTCAGGAGGATGCAGGCATTCAGTCCACAGCACACTTCAAAGATACTTTCTAAATTTAGTTTTTGCAAGAAAGTCTTAGTACTTGACTCATATGGTTGTTTAAGACTATTACCGCATCTAAAGTACTTAGATCAGAAGCTTGGTTAATGGCGGTTACTGTTATGGTTGCTGTTGTTATTAATAATAACTGAAATATGTGCGCTAGAAGCCTGCAGTGCAGCAAGTGTTCGGGGGCATGGGGGGGAGGGGCACATAGCACAGAGGACCAGCGTGGTCAGAGGTGGTGTCTAAGAGGAGGGAGACTCAAGCTAGGTTATCTGGGAAGGCTACCCAGCACCTAGACAAGTAGGAGGAAGAAGACCGCAAAGGATTAAGCACTGACACAGGGAAGGCTAAGAACCATTTGAAGAGTGTGAGATTAGTTGGCCCAAAGCTGGGGACAGACAGGTGAGTGAGTGATGTGAAATGGGTTTCTTCACTATTGCCCCAGAAGGCAGGTCCCTGAGCCCAGCCAAGCTACTGCATGTTGTGTTATCTCATGGAGAGCAATTGTTTTATTTGTTAGAAATAAATGAATCCCTCCTGTTGACTGCTCTCTTCGGTGGAAGGATGGCAGAGTTCATTAATCCATAGCTGGGACCTCTGAGGAAGTTGGGTTGAGGAAGGTTCTTAGGAAATCTCATCACCTATGATGGTTTATATGGCCTCAGGTCTCTGCAAGACTGACTTTCTCATGCCAGCCAATTCCATTGCTGAGAGCTTGGTGGAAAAAACCCACAAAAATTAAAGTAATTGCCTTCTTTTATAAGCCAGCTTTTCTCAGTTACCAGCTGTGTCTTTTATATTTCAGTGTGGCAGCTACCGAAAGAAAATTAAGTTTAGGCCAATCATTTTAAGATCCCAGCTAAAGACCTTACCCCAACTAATTAAAAACACATTATACAGATACCGCATACTTACAGTTCCTTTAAATGTTAGGTATTGTGGTTTCAAACATCTGGGACAAAACTAATCTCCCTCACCCCAAGGTGGGGCCACAGCACCTATGATTAATGTAACCTAGAACTGAGTATTTCCAGGAAAAGTGGTCTCAGGAGCTGAAAGCTGCTCTGTCGTAACTAATTGTCTGCTCTCTTGCTTTTGCTAGAACATTTTCAAAAGTTAATTTGTTTTAATTTGTGAGAATAAGTCAGTATTGGCTTGTTTATCTTTTACTAAAAATACTTTTAGTCGTAAAGGTTTCTATTACCCAAAAATGCCAAGTATAAATGTAGGATCTCAGAAAAGATGATGTATTAGTTAGGATTCTCGAGAGATTTTAATTTTTAAAGAATTGGCTGACAAGATGTGGAGGCTGGCAACTCCAAAGTCCGCAGAGTAGGCCAGCAGAGTGGGGGCCCAGGAGAGAGTCAGAGTTTGAATCCAGAAACCGTCTGCTGACAGAATTCCCTCGTTAGCAGGGGAGGTCCATCTTTTCTCTATTAAGGCCTTTAAGTGATTGGATGAGGCTCGCCATCATTGTGGAGAGCAATCTGTTTTACTCAAATCTACTGATTTAAATGTTAATCTCATCTGAAAAATATCTCCACAGAAACATAGAATGTCTAACCAAATACCTGGGTAGTGTGGCCTGGCCAAGTTGACACATAATTTAACTATCATAGATAGTAAACGGAGACTAGAATTTCTTATCTTTTTTTTTAAGGAAAAATAAAGAATAGAAGCTGTAATTAAAACAGTGTTATTGCCTCATAGTTGTTGTTCTGGAAGTCAAGAGTCAGCAAGCTATGCTTGTGGGCCACATCTGACCCACTGCCTGTTTTTGTAAATAAAGTTTTATTGGGACACAGTTATACCCATTAATTTGAGTGCTGAATGCTTTTGCCCTACAACAGCAGAGTTGAATAGTTGCAACAAAGGCCTGCAAAGCTAAAAATATTATCTGGCCAACCAGATATATTTTGCCCCCCCGTGCTGTATTATCTTAATTGGCCAGGTGACAGGATGATCTGATTTGTTCTAGTTCAACAATTATTAATTGAGTATAAACTATAGGAGGAGTGTGGTGCTGTACTCCAGAGCAGTGATCACCAACCTTTCAGACCTCACGGACCACCAGTGGTCCTCGGACCACCGGTTAGCAGCTGCTGCACCAGAGAACTCATCCCTGCCAGGTACCCAAACAAGAGTAAGAACTAGGAATTTAAAAAGCAGAAGAGCAGGTGAAGCTCTCACTGTGTGTCAGGCATTGTGCTTAATGCATCATCCTATGTAATCTCATAAAAGCACCATGAAGTCGGTACTGTTGTTACCCTATTTTATAGGTAAGGAAACGGAGGCTTAAAGAACCCAAGATCACAGAGATTGTGGCAGATTTGGGAAGGTTGGCTCCAGAACCTGCATGCTTCACCTCAGTGTGGCACCCTCCTACATTAGGCCTGCACAGAGTAGGCATTTGATAACCATGTGGAAGCCCATGAGCATGAGCATCAGAACACTGATGCTTGGAGGTGATTCTTAGTTAAGGAAAGCGTGTTGGACCAGGGACACACATAGGCAGAGCAGCCTGGAATCTCCATCTTAGGGAGAAGCACTTATCCAGGGCAGCTTTCCAGGTCATCATGAAAATGGCATGAGCCTTGTCACACACACACACACACACACACACCGTAGCAGCCCAACATTCCACCTTCATATGTCCCAGAGCGAAGCCAGGCTCAAGTCCTGTCCAAGGGTAGCTCGTCTGTCAGCATCTGGGGAAGATAGTGCAGTGATTAATGAGAGGCTGGATCTAGTCGGCAAGTAAATGTTCAGTCTGAGCACCTGACATAGAGCCAAGTCCCTTCAGAGGCTCGTTAACTACCAGTTTGTAAGGATGGAGAGAAGGAGATGCTCTAAGTCACTGGTTCTCAACCTTGGCTGCACATTAGAATCACCTGGGAATCTTTTTAAAATCCTGATTTCTGGGCCTCCTCCTCCGGAAATTCTGTTTCTTTGTTACTAATGTTGTGGCCCCACCCCATAACAAAGAAACAGAATTTCCGGAGGATGAGGCCCAGAAATTAGGATTTTAAAAAGATTCCCAGGTGATTCTAATGTGCAGCCAAGGTTAAGAACCACTGCTCTAAGTCTTCACAAGTAATAGACCACCCACCCAATTCACACAGGCAAAGGGCCAGAATGAGATTTCTAGCTATTCAACCTTATTCAGCCCCTTCTCAGCATGCAGAATCAACCCCTGGCATGCAGACCTACAACCCCCACACACTCTAACTCACACACATCTCCATTCCAAAGCCTCCCTCACACCCCGAGAAGCCAGCCTGACTTCTGGTCCTGCTCCCCACAGTATAGGGACAACGCCCATCACCAGGCCGGCTGTTCTTGAGTGTTCCACCAGAAAGAACTTCCTGTCTCTATGGCAGTTGGTTAAAAACAACAACAAAACAGGCCCTGGTAATGCTGCAGAGCAGAGCCTGGCCAACTAGAGCTCCCTTGCTCTTGGGATGAGGGACAAAGACCAAAGAATGAGGCGGTGAACACCCCCCTCCCCAGGGGGAAATCACAAGTGATGTTTGCTTCTAATTACTGCAGAGCTGGACACCACGTTTCTCAAAGGCCCCCATGGCTGGAAGAGTGCATGCCCCTCCAAACATAGGTGGTCACACGTCACAGTTGCCCTAGAGCAGAGCGCAGCCCAAAAAGTCTGTTCCAGACCAGGGCCAGGTGACCCCTCTCTGCCTCGAGAGTGACTGCAGTTGACATGAGCTCACACTTTCCTCTTTCAGATTATGATGTGTGTGCTGAGGCCCCCTGTGAGCAGCAGTGCACAGATAACTTCGGCCGCGTGCTGTGTACTTGTTACCCGGGATACCGCTATGACCGTGACAGACACCGGAAACGGGAGAAGCCCTACTGCCTGGGTGTGTTGGCAATGCACGTATTTTTCAGCTCCTGACACTGTGCCTCTTTCAGATGAGTCTATGCTTGCTTGGATGCTCTTCATCAGTGGGACCAGCTCCCAGGGGCCGCTTTGATCTTTGATTCCTGCCCTTCCCTCCTGATATTTGTTGGATGCAGTGTGTTGGCATTATCCTAGGGCAGCGGTTCTCAACCTGTGGGTCAAGACCCCTTTGGGGGTCAAACGACCCTTTCACAGGGGTTGCCTAAGACCATCGGAAAACACATACATAATTACATATTGTTTTTGTGATTAATTACTATGCTTTAATTATGTTCAATTTGTAACAATGAAATTGGGGGTCACCACAACATGAGGAACTGTATTAAAGGGTCGCGGCATTAGGAAGGTTGAGAACCACTGTCCTAGGGGATCACTGCCCTTCACCTGATTATTGAGATGAAAAATGGCCACAGAATTCTTCAGGGAGTTGATGCCAGTCAGGTCTTCATGGGCAGTGAGGTATACGAGCAAGAAAAGGGGAACATTAGCAAATGTAAATTAGGAGAATATAAAACAGAACATTAAGTGGGAAGAAATGTAAAAACAGAAATGAGAGTAAGCATTCTCTCAGGAGAGAAGTAGGAGGAGAGGCTGGGAAAGAGGGCGTCCATGTGACAGACAGGTTGGAAGTCAGAGAGAGCTGAAGCCAGCCCCCAGCCTGCACTCTGAATTTCTGAGGAAGGTTTATTGTCCCCTGAAGCCATGTTTCAAAGTGTGGTCAGTCCTGGCTAACCTCTCAGAAACATCTAAGGTCCTCTCTTTAAAAAAAAAACAAAAAGTGTCTGGCCTCCCCTCCAGACTCTGAGGGTGGGACTGGAAATCTGCATATATCTAAATGCCTTTAGTGACTCCCATGCACAGTCAAGTTTGAGCATCAGCTTGAGGATGAACCTAGGAGACTGGCGCATGACCCAAGTGGAAAATAAAGGAGCTGCAATGAGCAGGGGCTCTAGAGAGAACCATTCAAAAGAAGTTCTAGATCAGGGGTCCTCAAACTTTTTAAACAGGGGGCCAGTTCACTGTCCCTCAGACTGTTGGAGGGCCGGACTATAGTTTTAAAAAAAACTATGAACAAATTCCTGTGCACACTGCACGTATCTTATTTTGAAGTAAAAAAACAAACCGGGAACAAATACAATATTTGTAATTGTATGTGGCCCACGGCCGTAGTTTGAGGACCCCTGTTCTAGATATTAGGTCTCCTGGCTTCTCCCCAGGGCCCCATGCTGACAAGGAATGGGATTGAGGCCACCAAGTGAATGGAGTGGGGACCCAAGGCCCCTCCTACAGAAAGCATGGGATGCCACTCTGGACCCCTAAGGTCCCAGGCACAAGGGCTCATATTTGTGGTATGGTACCCTGTTCTTTTCATTTGGGGGTCAGCAAAGCCAGCTTGCTGCTGAGTTCCATCCATTTCTATCTCTTTCTGGACATAGAGGCAGCTCCACGCTTAGGTGTAGGGCAGGGGTACGCAGAGGGCGTGGTCAGCCTGAGGAACTGCAGGGGAGGATCCAGCTATGTGACATCATCTACAGAGGACATAGCCCGTACCGCCAAGGGAAAAGATGACCACACTCCCCTTGGCACACACAGGGCCTGCCAGAGGCGGGTCCATGGCAGCTTGTCTGGGGAGTAGTTGTTGGAATCCGGAAGCGAGGACTGGGCTGAGTCAGCTGCCACATGTGCACAGTCTCCCACTGCCACCCAGGTCTTCAGTGAATGAGAGAAAACAGACTTGGGCTCCCTCTCTTCTTCCTGGTGGGAAACGGTTTTGTTTCTACCCCACTCACTAGGGGAGCAAGTCTGTGATGTGCTCAGTTCACATGGACTCTTACTGGTTACTTGTTTGAGGGTCTCACGGCTCATTTCCACAGCTCACGAGGAGTCTGTTTGGGTCATTGATGAGGCTGAAATTTCCTGGGGAGAACTCTCTCCGTTAGGCCCATTATGACTGTTTTCTTTGATCAGAAGTGGCTTTTCCCAGGTACCATCACGTCTCTTAACTGGGAAGGAGTCCTTCCTAAGTGACCTTGGGTCACCACATGCTACTTGGAATGATAGCCAAACATAAAGAAAACATAAAACCCGTGGCACACTGGGTCCTGGCAGAAAACCATTTCTATAATGCTCACTTTTGCAGAAAACTGTTTCTATAATGCTCACTTTTCAAAGTGTATTGCCATTGGGGAGCTTGTTTTCTCACCTAAGGAGCCTTAGGAAGTGTGTAGGGCAGTCTTCATTATCATGGGTTACAGGTGACAACTGTGAAGGCTGGCGATGCCTAAACCAACCACCTGACTTGGTAATGGCAGAGCCACAACCAGGAACCCCATCAGTGATCTGTTGTACCATGGTGACACGGCCTGATGTCTTCCTGTCACTCAGGTTTCTAGCTTCCTGCTCTATTCCAGGCTTCTCTGCTAGAGTCTGACAAAGTGTGCTTTGCAGACATAAACATGTCACTTGTGTTGGAAGTCAATTCTTGGAAACTAAGTGTTGTCTGCATTTTGGTCCAAACCTAGATATCGACGAGTGTGCCACCAGCAACGAGACTCTGTGTGCACACATCTGTGTCAACACCTTGGGCAGCTACCGCTGTGAATGCCGGGAGGGCTACATCCAGGAGGACGATGGGAGGACATGCATCAAGGGAGACAAATACCCTAATGACACTGGTGAGTGGGGCAAGTATCGTGGGTGGGTGGCTGGCTGGATGGATGGACAGGCACTAGGAAGGGGCATTTATATGAATGGTAGGTGTCACTGGGTAAGAGGAGGGTAGGACATCAGGTCAAGTCTCTTCCAAAGAGACCTGGTGAGAGCGATGCCCGTGAGCAGCGAGGTTGTGAACTGGTGTGTGTTTGAGGAAGCTCTCCATCAAGCAGAGGTGGTGTGCTTGTGGATAAATCAGTAGAGCTTAGTTACATGCTTAGACCAAACTAGGACGAGCAAAGAAGAGACCAGAAACACTACGTTCTCTCAAAAGAGAATGGGCTGAATATAAATGTGAAACATTTCCATGTAAGTAAGCTATCTACATCAGTGCGGCTCAACGTACATAGTCCACGGCCCTGTGCCTGCCGACAAGCTATTTGTGATTTGGTTCAGGACTGGGTAGAAACAGAAGTTGAGAATGTTTAGAAGTTTTTATTCCGATTTGACAGAGAAATTTTGTTTAGATCCAAAGATTTCTGCTGGTATTTTATGCTTTATTTTTCTAGCAATTTGTTTTCATTGTATTTTGCAAATACAATCACAGTGGAGTGGAAATTTTTAAAAGCTGGCCCTTCTTCGCAGCGTTTGAGAAGCTGATTGAACTGAGATGTCTGATCCCTAAGGATATGATTAGCTCGCATATTGAGTTACTTCCTTATTTAAGTTTGGAGGGAAAGGGAGGGAGGGGGCAGGGGAGGCAGGAAGGAAAGAAAGGGGGTAGGGAGAAGGGAAGGGAAGGAAAAGAAGGAGGGTTTGTGCTCCTTATCCAAGGCTCACAAGGCCAGGAAGTTGTCATCTTCCAGAACCCAGGACTCAGATCCTCTCTGTTATCCTGGGGAGGGAAAGGGGCCTGGATGCTGGCGGTGGCGTGGCAAGGCTGCCTGGGTCTGGGCCATCTGTGGGTGGGGAGGAAGCGAGTCCCAGGTACCAAGAAATGCAGGGAAATGAAAGGCCAGAACTGTCTGGGTACTCAGGAGCTAGTTAGCGATTTGGGGGGGTGTAGTGTGAGGTTCACAAAGGGGCGGAAGGCAGTTGCCATCGGCTCATCACAGCAAACAGCTGGGGACCAGCTGCCTCCCACGGGAAAAACTACAAAGCGCAATTATGAGGTTGAGTCATGAGGAAGCCACCATATATTAGAAGTAGAGGCAAAATATCTGTTTGGAGCCAGCTCAGAATTGGGCAATTTGGGATAATGTGAGTGAATCAGAGGCCCTGTGAAATCTACTGAAAGCCAGAAGCTCAAGGGACCCGCGTGCCCAGAGGTGCTTAAAGCAGGGGTCCGTTGGGAAAAAAATGTGTGCAGGTGGCTTTTCTTAGAATTCAAATTTAAAATCCCTTCATTTTTGTTTCATGGTGGAGCGGGTGGGGGAGGGGTGGGACGTGTAACTTACCTCTTAGATTATGTCCTATATTGAAAGGAAGAATCTCACTGAAAAAATGAGAGGCAGCCTCTTAGTCACTGATACATTGATGTGTGGGTCGACTTAAGAATTAGCAGCAGGAGAGCAGCGTTCCCATTTTTCATTCCGGAATTGGATTTCCAGCTGCGCTCTGAGCCAGGCAGCCCGAGGCTGTGGGCCACTCAGCCTGCCAACTCCATTGTCTCTTTGCCTCACGTTTCTATTCCGGTGAAATCCCATTTACGTGGGCATGAGGGGCAGTGTTGAGCACCCCAGTCTAGAGCACAACCATCAGAAACAGCAACCAATGCTTACTGCCGAGTGTCAGGGTGGCCTTTGATGGTAGGGATCTGGTAAGACCGGGCCCCGCCCCACCAGCAGTTCCCACCTGGTGGGACAAAGTGACCTGCCCAGAGACTTGGTCTTAACCAGCAGAGACCAGAGAAGCAGAAACTAGTGTGAGATGTTCAATTCACTGGATTTACTGGTTCTTTGGTCTCAGTGGCCTCCACCTCTTGCAATGATTCTTAGGTTCTACAACGACATCCCTCTTCAGTCTCATACATTGCACTGCTGTGTGGTTCCCTAGGGATGGCTCTGAGCAGGGCAAGGTGGCCTTGGTGGCAGTCACCACCCACCTTGTACTTCGCAGTGTGCACCCAGGAGGGGCCCAGCCACAGGGTAGGGGTACGGAAAGGTCTCATTGCATCTTTGAAATTAGCAGCCTGCCGAGCCGGCGCGTGGCTCTGTGGAGCATCGATCTATGAACCAGGAGGTCATGGTTCAGTTCCCAGTCAGGGTATAAGCCTGGGTTGCGGGCTCGATCTCCAGTTGGGGGTGTGCAGGAGGCAGCTGATCAATGATTCTCTCTCATCATTGATGTTTCTATCTCTCTTTCCCTCTCCCTTCCTCTCTGAAATCAATACAAAAGTATTTTTTTTTAAGATGAAATTAGCAGCTGGTGGTGCTCAGTCAGACCTGAGACCCCACTCTTGTTTCTGTCCCTGAGAAACAATTTCTCAAACACACAAAAAGTTTCAGTGCAAGAGATCAAGAATTTTATTTAAGAGATAACCATTTGACTTCTGCAGCTGAGAATTCAGTAAAAACCTAAGCAGTCATAATTAAAAGGAATATGTATTTGCAGCTTTTGGGGTACTTTCTCTAGTATTACTTTCATGTAAAGGCATATGTGACCTCCACCATTTATTACAGCATTTCCTCACGTTGTGTTCTATACAACTTTGGGGTCGTATGGGTATTGCTGAGCCTTTCTTCCTTACGAAGCTTCTGTGTTCAGAGGTTTGGGGAAGAATGTGTTACTGCACCCACTTCTTAAGGATTCATGATGCGAGTGCATTCAAAGCTCTGAAGATGGCCATTTTCTACCAAAAAAAAATGTTAATTTCAATTAAACCTGAATTCCCCAAAATTAGTTTCTTAAGGAATACCTTCTAACATCTCCCAGATGGTGGTGTCCTAGAAATTAGAGTTTGGAAAATTCTAACTTACTAGCATCAAAACTCTGAGCTCTGGGGCTCAACTTGGTAGGTCATCTGGTCGACTTTCAGGGAAGGACGTTTTTGGACGCAGCCACGAAGTCCAGAGGGAAGCCATTCGCTGCAGACAGCAGAGCATCTGATGAACAAAACAGGACGATACTCCTCCATTCTGCCATTCCGAGAGACAGGATGTTCCTGTTTACAGGGGCTGGGAGGGGGTGCCCTTCTGTTTAATCAGAAAGAACTGTCTGGTGGCTCTACCACTGCGCTTCATTATAATGAGCTCCTCACTGCCGATTCTCTCCCTCCTCCTCCTCTACACATAGCAGCCTCAAATGACTTTTTAAAAACCTGAAAGGTCACCACTGTCAGTTGTATCATATTTCCCCCGCCGCCAGCAGCAGCATTATAAAAGAATTTCTCGGTATTTCATGTTCAGTAACTGGTCTCTATTGAATTCACCACACACGCGCAGAGGGCTTAGCATTTGGTTTTAGTATTTTACTAAGAAAAACATTCCAACACCCGTAACCAAGGAAATCAGGGAGTCACAGCCTGAGAGGAGTAATTCATACACAAAATTATGAGAAAGGACAGGCACATTGCTTGCCCTGAATGTTAAAGTCATAACTCATGTGATGGGCCACCGAGAAAGTGAGGGGCTGGCTTTGGTGGTTCTGGCAGCAAAAGGCAAGTGCCCTGGATGCATTTCTTTGACAGTGGTGACGCCCGAAAGTTCCTTGGTGTAGAAGTTAGGAGAGCTGGTAGCTGGAGCTGCGTTAGGATTAACCAGCTGTTGTGGGCCGGTCGCCAGGCCTCAGCTTCCTCCTCTGTAGACAAGAGGGTTGGATAAGGAGAGCTCTGAAGACCCTTTTGCCTTTTGCAAATATTTTTTCCAATGTGGTGTGAAGAGCTTCAGTAAAAGTAATACAAGCCCTCCCAGCCCTGGGAGTCCCTGTGTGGTCACGTCTTTGTCTTTCATCTAAGCAAGTGCCAAGACTCTAAGACATGCCCAGCTTCACTACCAAAACAGAGAACTTACTATATCTCAACAGATGAAGTATCAACATCCAGCTATTCAGCTCAGCACTAAGAAAAGTTAGGGGCCAGACAAACTTTGTATCTGGAACATCAGAGGCAGTTAAGTGGTTTCATCTGTTTTGGACTAATTAATAAGTCCCATATTTCATCACGGTCAATTTTTTTTGGATGAGGAGGTAATGATTATTAAGTATAAACACATGATGTAAAACCTCCTTTCCTCCTCCTGTGTTTTTTTTTAAACTTTGCATTGTCCAATGTCTGTAATATTACAGTCAGAGGAATTTAAAATCAAGGACGGCCTCAGCTGTTTATCCAGAGAGCAGGCGAAGAGCAGAAGGGGCTGGCCCTGGAACTGTGTCTCATAATCCAAAGGCCGCTGTGCACACACAGGCACGGTATCTCGGCTGGCTAATAGGCAAGAATGGCTCGCTCAGTCACTTTGATTCTCTTTGAAAATATGTAGCTGGAGCCAGCTTAGTCACTCCAGGGAGTCTGTGAAGCTCCCCTGAGGAGAAGAATTAAGAGCAAGTTGGCTCCATAGTAATTAGCTATTTATCAACTTTTGTTTACTTTCTGATAAAGTGACCGTGACCCCCAGTGCCACTTAGTACAGTTCAAAGTGTCAGGGATGGCCAGGTGTTTCATATAACTTTCAAGCTCCACTAATCCATAGATCAGTGGTTCTCCACCTGGGGGGGCTTGAAAAAATGCTGATACTGTCCCGTGCTGTGACTCCCAGATGGGAGGGGTACAACTTAGTGGAATTTTTAAAAGCCCCCAAAGCAGTTGCAATGTGCCACCAGGGTTGAGAACTGTTGCTGGGACACAAATCTGCACCATCAACTTTTAAAAACAAACATGCTTTGTTCGTTTGTGACACTGCTGGTATGAAATGTGTTGGGAACATTCTTTAGTTCTTCTAAGTTTATTAAATATTACTAATATGGTATGTAAGGAATTCTATTTCTAGTGCTTAGGATGTATGTATACACTGCTCAGTATCAGTAAAAATTAGAGCTATCTGCCCCCATGTGGCTAATTGATAATATTGCACCTTTATCTGAGCAGGTTGGAGCAATATGTTGTGACTAGGGGCCCAGTGCATGAATTCATGCACCTTGAAAGGAACTGTGGGCTGCAAGGCTGCAGTAGGCACAGGAATGGGTCTCGACCCATCCTCTGCGCTCCTGCCCGCCGGGGCCCTGGTCCCCTGTCTGCCAGCAGCCCCACTCCTGCCATCACCACTCCTACTCGCTGAGGGTGCCGGCCCTGCTCACATCTGCTGATGGCGCGGAGCGATTGGGGCTGGCACCAGCAGCAGGTGCAAGTGGGGCTGGCGCTGTCAGTGGGTTCAAGCAGCAGCTGCTGCCCCGATCACCCCTCAGGAGCAGGAGGAGGTGGAGAAGCCCTCAGGGGCGATCAGGGCCAGCAACTACTGCTCACACCTCCTGATGGCACCAAATGATCGGGACGAGCACTGGGCATTGGCAGCGGGTGTGAGCGGTGGCTCCGGCACTGGCTGCGGGTGCGAGCACCAGGCAGGACCACAGCGCGTGGGGAGCAAAGAATTTTTAGTAAACACCAGAGCCTTGCCTCAATGACAACGACTAGCACCCCACCTTGGTCTGGCGCCCCTGCTCACCTGCTCCACCATCCTGCTGTGGCCAATGCCCACCATGTTCCGCACACACCCCCTGCTGGTCAGCGCATGTCATAGCGACTGGTTGTTCAGTTCTGGTTGTTCTACCATTCGGTCTATTTGCATATTAACCTTTATTATATAGGATACTTCACTGAACATGGTCATAGTCACAGTCAGAGACACTCAGTGGCTACATTGAGAGGATTGAAAACAAAGCCCCAGATTCCTACCCAGATTTCTATATGAATTATTAATGTAGCACACACAGGATTATTTTAACACATTTGACAGTACTGTAGACAAATTGCAGGAGAGATGAGCCCCAATTCAGAAGAGATGGTGTGCTCTGATCTACACACAGTTATTTATCTTTAAATCCTCTGAGAGCTCTTTCCAAAGGAAAGACATCTGTAATTTTGTAGGTAACATAATTTTTAAAAAGATACCAGCATCAACAATCATATCAGCATTTATGGAGCATTTGTCATGTACTAGGCACTGTTCTGGGAACTTACAGGTGTTGTTAATGCCTCACAGCAATCCCAGGTGTTAAGTGTCATTGTCACTTATCACGTTTCAAAGAATGGATGCTCACAGAGGCTGTGACTTCCAACCCAAAAGGTATGAAGTGGCAACATCAGGATTCAGTCCTGATCATTGGACTCCACCAGAGCCTACACCCCTGGCTACTACTAGTATGTTTCTCTTTCTGTGGAAGCTTCAGAAGTCTTTGGAGCAAAGTTTATCTTGTGTGTGTGTGTGACAAAGTTTCATTATAAGGCAGTCATATACATAATTTAGAATATGTAAATTTTTTAATGATTATTGTAAATAAACATAAAATGAAAAATTTCTTATAGGGAACCCCCAGAGCTCTGAGATTATGTCCATGAATCCTGAGGAATCCATTTAAAAAGAGTTTGTAGTCAATATTTCCTAATGCATTTGACTTTAAAACCTCGGAGCAAAGTTCATCTTGATCTCTATTCTGATCATTTCACGAAGGGACAGCAAACAGACTGAGCACTTCTAGGTCAAAAGTCACTCAGCAGGGCTGTTGTCTGGGACAGTGAATGTGGGTCGTTTAGAGGGCTTTGGTAGACGTGCTCTAGGCCCACTCCCAGGATTTCGGATTTCAGAGAACAGATCCCTGCGTGATTGTGGTGCTGGTGCTGCTGGTGGTCTGTTGATCACACGTGGGAACTACTGCCTTGGAGCCAGCCTGGCAGACGGCTCTCAGGTGTTCCGAACAGAACCCCCTGTAGCAGGCTCCCTGCACCCCCACGGTGCTCAGTCGCTGCCCACGGCGCTCTGGGAGACCTTATCTGTAAAGCAGACTGAACTAAAGATACATTAGTCCTAACACCCCATGATATAAATGAAATAGTCTAGAACCTGGTAAAGAGGTTTACTCTTATGAAAATATCAAATTACCTTAATTATTACCACCCCTTGGTGAGTTCAACTGAGTATATGAAAGTAGAAATAAAAAGACGGGCTTTTAACCCTTGTTCATGATGGCCTGAGGGTTAGGGTTTCAACATATGAACTTGGGAGGCGGGGACAATTCAACATCTAACATCCTATTTCACAGATATTTTTCGAGCATCCACCATGTGGCTACCAAGAAGCGACTCTGGTTCTTAGGTGGCTCCCACTCTGCACCAGTATCCCCTCTGCAGGGAAGCCTGGAGCACCCGCCACTTGAGTGGGACAGGTGGTCAACACCGCTGACCTCAGAGGCCTGAAGGGTCTCTGTAGACAGAGAGGTGGGCTTCGTGGACACTTGAGCTGGGTCTCGCTAGTTGGTAGAATTCACTAGTGGAGGCAGCCAAGAGGCCTTCCCAGAAGAGAATAGTAAGAAAAGCACGTGGGCCAAGAGGCACAGGAAATGACTTGGGGGAGATGTTGCTCTACTGTCCGAGTTACATTCCAGGTAGCAGTATTATCCGTCACAAACAGCACACCTGGCCCCACACCAAAGGCCTCCTAAGCTAGGAGGAGGGTTTCCACTTACCTGGAGTCACACTGCCCTATCCGCCCCAAGAAAACATTCGTACACCCCACTCTTTTTTTTAAATATATTTTATTGATTTTTTACAGAGAGGGAGAGAGAGAGAGTTAGAAACATCAATGAGAGAGAAACATCGATCAGCTGCCTTCTGCACACCTCCTACTGGGGATGTGCCCGCAACCAAGGTACATGCCCTTGACTGGAATCGAACCTGGGACCCCTCAGTCCGCAGGCCGACGCTCTATCCACTGAGCCAAACCGATTACGGCGATACACCCCACTCTTGATCCACACCGCGGCCACCTCTGCATAGCCCTTGGTGGTCTTCACCTCCTCATCAGTAGCAAGGTTGCCTCCAGTGTCTAGTCTCCAGCACACAGGTGTCTGTAGGCATTTCAGTGCCGGTAGGATGAGAGCTGTGTAAATTCTTGGCCATGGCACCATTTGACCCACTCTTTCTTTAGTGAAATATTGATTTACAAAAAGCCCTTGGTGCTCCCAGTGCTCTACAAGATGTCACTGGGATCTTTCCCAGTGGACGGACGGGGTGCCTTCTCAGGGCCTGTTCCACTTGCCCCCAGGTGGGCGTGTCCAGAGTGTCTGGCACGTTTTCCATCCCAGCTTCACATCTCCATGGAGCTCAGTGCCCAGCCCAGATCTGTGACACCCCGCCCCCGCCCACCCTGGAATGGATGTGCTGTCTTTTGATCGTCTGGATGACAGAGATGAAAAGACCAGCTTTGTGAGACACTTGCACCCGAAGGCC